TGTTTTCTGGATCAATGCTGATGGCTCCCCACAACAAGAAATAATGTGCTCAATAGGAACATCTGTGCAAAAGAAAGAACCTTCCGTTTCAGATCCAGAAACAATGTTCTTCAACAAATGGCAACCGAGTAAACAGGAAATTGGAACAAGCAGAGCTAAAGTTTACTTCTAATCTATGGGAGTTACATTTTACAATGCACGCAGGCCACAGAGAGACAATTACCAACCTACTGGCAGCCATTAGCAACAGTCTGTTTCCTTGAAGCAAAGTTCTACTTTGAGAAGTGACTATGTCAAAACTCAGTGGATCTGTTCCCTATGTATATTCACAGTCACACCTGTTGAATTCAATTACAAAACAGAATTGTTACTGTTTTTATTCCTTTTAGTCCTGCAGAGCAACACAGCTAAGATTATGGAAGCTGCAGATTCTGCTCTATGTTGTTCTTCAACAAAATTATTGATGATGATGTGCAAGCTGGGATTAATCCATCTTGACTCTCAGACCCAAGGCTGAGTTTACACAGCTGGCAATTATCATTCCATTACCAGTAAATGGAACACACTTGGTATTGAAATCATTGCGAGATAGTAAACATAGAAACCTCATTGATGCCTTTGTTATTAAATGGGTTATTTTTCACTTCCTATCAGAAACTACTGTGTTGCTGCACTCCATAGCTGAACTGAATCCTACGTATCTCTAGTTTCTAAAGCACTTTGGGATCTTTTGAGATAAAGACATAGAAATATAAAGCATTATTACAACAATAAACACTGCAGAATATTACAGCAGTTACAAAACACCAGCTTAGCCAAACAAAGGTATCTGTTTCTCCAGCTATTAGAAGTACAATTCATTAAATAAAAACAACAAAGGCAACTGTTGCAGATATTCATATTTTAATTACCCAGAACTCCTGCAGCTGCACTATCTAGAGTCCCACCATGTCCAATCTTCAAAATCTGTTTTTTCCTCTTTCTTGCACACTTTTGTATACCAGCTTCTGCAAAAATAAATTGACAAAACGCATTACAGAACACCCTCAGAACATGGCAAATGCAAAAAACTTATTTATGTTGCAATATATCAAAAAAGACAAAACAAATTCAATGGAAATCATTGTTCTTCATGCTCTGATTAAATCATGAATTATATACATATATACACACACATATATAATTTCCTGTCTGCGAAAGTGGCTGCTATCAGCTAATTATAAATAATCTTATGCACCATTATAAACAGAAGTGTTAAAGGAATATACAAAACACACCAGAGTGGACAGGTTACCTGATTTGTTTCATTAATGCAACATGTAACACTATTACCAGCTGAACACACTCACAGAAAGCATCACGTACACTGAGCAGTCTTGCTTTATTTGATTGCACATAATGGGCCACATACCACTCAGCTACATGAATGGCTTCAATAGGGATGCCTACATGCAACTGAGTGGAATTTGCTCTTTGTTGCCCATCTGCTGTGATGGCATATAACAAATAGTCTCATATGGGGAAATGTGACTGGCCTGTTACAATCCCACCTAGGAATTCCACAGCCTTGATCACTCCCTGAAAAAGAAACATTCAGCAGATTCTCGGGGCCATTATAAACTTGAAAGGAAGTCAACTGAATATACAGTTGAAAGAGCTAAACATGCCCCCAAATCCCCTGAAGTGAAGAAACAGATTGACAGAGCCAGAAGGGTACCCAAAAGTCACCTACTACAAGACAGGCCCAACAAAGAAAGGAACAGAACACCATTAGCCATCACCTACAGCCCCCAACTAAAACCTCTCCAGCGCATCATCAAGGATTGACAACCTATCATGAACGATGATCCCTCCCTCTCACAGACCTTGGGAGACAGCCAGCCCCCCAACCTAAAGCAAATACTCACAGCAACTACACACCACACAACAAAAACACCTACCCAGGAACCAAACTTTGCAACAAACCCCGGTGCCAACTCTGTCCATATATCTATTAAAGGGACACCATCATTGGACCTAGCCACATCACCAGGGGCTCATTCACCTGCACATCTACCAATGTGATATATGCCATCATGTGCCAGCGATGCCCCTCTGCTTTGTACATTGGCAAAACCAGACAGTCTCTAAGCAAAAGAATAAATGGACACAAATCTGACATCAAGAATTATAACATTCAAAAACCAGTCGGAGAACACTCCAATCTCCCTGGTCACTCAATAACATACCTAAAAGTGGCAATTCTTCAACAAAAAAACTTCAAAAACAGACTCCAACGTGAAACTGCAAATTAATTCCAGTTCTGCAAACTGGACATCATCACATTAGGCCTGAATAAAGACTAGGAGTGGTTGGGTCATTACAAAACCTCAACCTAATTTCCCCCATACTAATTTCCCCCTACTGTTACTCACACCTTCTTGTCAACTGTTTGAAAAATGGGCCACTCTCATTACCACTACAAAAGTTATTTTTCCTCCCTTGGTATCCTACTGTTAATTGAACTGTCTCATTAGACTGACCTCACACTTGGTAAGGCAACTCCCATCTTTTCATGTATTTATTATACCTGCTCCTGTATTTTCCACTACATGCATCTGATGAAGTGGGTTCTAGCCCATGAAAGCTTATGCCCAAATAAATTTGTTAGTCTCTAAGGTGCCACACAAGGAGACTTGGAAGAGACCTCAGGAGGTCATCTTAGTCCAACCCCCTGCTCAAAGCAGAACCAATCCCCAATTTTTGCCCCAGATCCCTAAATGGCCCCCTCAAGGATTAAACTCACAACCCTGGGTTTAGCAGGCCAAGGCTCAAACCACTGAGCTATCCCTCCCCCCTGTTTTTTTTTTGCTGATACAGACTAACACGGCTCCCATTCTGAAACCCATTTCCAATTTCTGTAGCTTCATAACAACTTTCCTATTATTTCAAGTGTTTCTCTCTCTTGTGTTACAGTGAGAGACCCATACAAACAACGGGAAGAACTTAGAAACTAGCTGTCAACAAAGCACTACCACTGTAATTATACTACACAGACATTAATCCAGCACTGGGACTCACATGGGCAGACCCCTGTGCCTGCATGGAGCCCCACTCAACAGGTGTCTACATGGGACAGAAATACTGCAGTTTTCAATGCAGGATTGGGGCCTTATACTGCAGGAGACTCTGTAATCCCCAATCAGGATCAGAGCTCCATCATGCTACGTGCTGTATACAAGATAACATAGTCCTGGCCTCCCAAGGAGGTTACAATCTTAAACCCCAACCCTGCAATTCACTATGGAGAGGTGGAGTAAGGAGTGGCATGGGGATTGGTTCTGTAGCCTTCCAACTGTGTTTTTCACAATCCTTAAATTCTGTTCCACTCATACAGACTCATGGGCCTCTGGGTGGGACTGAAATTATTTCAGTGGGACTTGATGGAGAAATAAGAATCCTACCACCACAGATCATACTGCAAGATCAGGACCCACCAGAGTAAACAATCTGAAAAATTAAGGAGAAAATATATTTTTCTTGCTTTCTCTTTCCATGATAGACAACAGTGATATGAACTTTGAAAAGGAAGAAGTAATATGTTCCTAGGAGTTGTGGTTTAGACCTTGCCTATGTTTGCTGGGATACTAAATCACTCCTGTAATGGAGATTCACAAAGAAGAGGCCCATGTACATACCAGAAGCTTGAAAAAGCCTAACTAGGTGAACACCGATGAAGTGAGCTGTAGCTCACGAAAGCTTATGCTCAAATAAATTTATTAGTCTCTAAGGTGCCACAAGTACTCCTTTTCTTTTTGCGAATACAGACTAACACGGGTGCTACTCTGAAACAAATGGACAATGTATTTTTTAAATCAGACATCTGACTGAAAGTGGCACCTTCATTTTGGATTTAATTTTAGGCCAGTTTTTAGTGTCTCCCTCCTGTGACGAAGGATTATTGTCCATATGTATTTTAAACAGACATTTTACAAATCTCAATTCTCTCTAACCAAAGTATTCCTCCTTTAGACTTTTCCAGCTTTGCAGCCCTGGAAAATCTGGATTTTTAAACTTGCTTTGAAACCTTCAGGGGCACATCAGGTATCAAAATGTGCAGGTCAGGTAGACTCATGGTTATCTCCATGCACAGAAGAAGGGGGGGGAGACAAATTAAGTGTGGATTCAAACTACACTGATTAGGGAATATGAACAGGTGAAGGTGCAAACTGCACAGCAAGGAAGCTACACTCAGGCAGTAATTTGCACACACAAAACCCTTACCTGGGCCTGGGGTAACTGGAATGGGACACTTACAGGGGCAAGGGCCCCAGCCACCTGCAGAGGGGAACTGACGGTGCAGCAATTGGCTTTGCATACATACAGTTAGAGGGCAAAGTACTGGGTGCAGGCGGATACTCTCAGCACTAATGCTGTGGGACTCCTACCACTGTAGGAAGAGCATGAAGTTCCCAGCATGTGTCATCCAGACCTGCCTCCTCCCAAGGTACCCCCCCCCCCCCGTCCCAGCTTGACCCTCCCGCCGTGGCCTCCCCCCACCCAGCCCGAGGGTGACATCCTGCCCCTTCCCAGCAGTACCTGCCAGCAGCTTCTCCTTCAGCTGGTTGAGCACGTTAGCTGAAGTGGGCCCCTTGGGTTTGTACACCGCGAACAGCCCGCTCAGAGAGAAGAGTTTAGCTGCTGCTGTGTTGGCCAGAACATGCCCCAGCTTCCCGTGCACCTTCTCGGCCATGCTCCGGGCCGGGCTCGCCCAGGCTGAAGATGCACCGAGGAGGCCAGGGGACGGCGGCTCGGGCCCGGCTTCCTGGCTACCCACGCGGGGCCCTGCAGCGGAGCAGCGGCGAGGGACAGCGCGGCGCGCCCGGCCGGGCCGGGCCGGGCCGGTCGCGCGCAGGCTCGCGCGCTGGGAGATGGAGGATTCGCCGGGCCGGGCCGGTCGCGCGCAGGCTCTCGGGCTGGGAGATGGAGGATTCGCCGGGCGGTGCGGAGGTGGGTGGGAGATGGAGGATTCGCCGGGCCGGGCCGGTCGCGCGCAGGCTCGCGCGCTGGGAGATGGAGGATTCGCCGGGCCGGGCCGGGCCGGTCGCGCGCAGGCTCGCGCGCTGGGAGATGGAGGATTCGCCGGGCCCGGCCCCGGGCGCGCGCGCTCGACAGCAGGCGCGCGCGGAGGCGGCTGGAGGGGCCTCACCCTGCAGCTCGGCTGGGCTGGGCCAGCCCCGCCTCTGCCTGCTGCGGGAGGGGCGGTGTCCGGGCAGCACCGGGGTGGGGTGATGCTGTGCCGCCCCCCCCCCGGGGATTCCGTTCCGCCTGCGGTGCACAGGTCTCTGGGCATGGCGTGCACAGGGTTGTGCAAAGGGTGAGCCGCTTTTCAGAGACACACCTGGTCGCGGGGAGGGGGGGGGTCACAGGGGTGGCACCGTGCTGCTTTGCTGAGGGCGCCTGGGAGGGTTTCTTTTGTGCACCGGGGGGAGGGGGACGGGAGAGGGCAGACAACTGCGCCCTCCTCCTGCCGGCTCACGTCTCCACGAGTTGCTCTGCTCGTCCGTGTCGCACGCAGGTGGGGTTTTTTATGGCCCGTACTCACTTTCTTTCTTCAGAGTCCCCAAATTTACAGTTACGGCTGTTGACCCAAAATGGCCCTGTGCTACCAGCGTGCCCCTTCCTGGTGGGGGTGGGCCTATGCTGTGCCCCACAGCTCCCCTGCCCAACACCCCCTGGATCCACTATGGCCAGAGCCCCCCCAACTCCCCCCGCCATTTCCACCACAAATGCACAGTGCTGTGCACACCACCACCCCTGCCCAGCGCCCCCCCCCGCCCACAGCCCCACCACGGCTGCCCAGCACCCCACACAGAACCCCCCACTCGCTAGTTTCCCAATACACACAGATTTCTCCTCCCTCCCAGTGCCCTTCCCCGCAGCCCCACCACCGCAACTAAACAACACCCCACACAGACCCCCACTGCCCTGATACACACTATCTCCCCCACTGCCTCGCACCCCAAAACTCACAAACCTCCCCCACAACCCAGCGCCCTCCACACCCTCACAGCCCCACACACGACTCTCACTCCATCACACCCTGCCCCCTTCCCTGGCTGCACTCACCTGCTGGGAGGTCTCTGGCTCCTCGGGTCAGAGCAGCGAGGGGGGGGTCTCCAGACTGTCCACGTGCTGCGCCCGCCACAAGCGCGAGCTTCATGGCTCCAATTGCCTGGGAAAAGCACCAGTGGGAGCTGCTGGAGCCGCAGAGCGGGGCTTGCAGGCACCGGTAGTGCGCAGAGAGCCCTCCGCCCCGACCCTAAGAGCCAGAGGGACCTGCTGGGGGGCAAGGTAGAGGTTACCGGCAGGTCCCTCGGGCTCCTAGGGTCTGGGGGGGGCGGAGGGCTCTCTGCCTGCTGCCAGTGCCTGCAAGCCCCGCCCCCGCAGCTCTGATTGGGCAGGAGGGAGCTGGTGCAGCACCCGGAGACACCCCTCTGCCTCTGTGCCTAGGGGCTGCCTGCACTGTAGGCTCCTGCCGACAGGCAGGTGCCGGGAGCTGCCCCAGGAAGCGCTGCCAGCCCCGGGATTTTGGTGCACGCGGGGACTCATGGTGAGCGGTCCCTGATATCGGGACAAAGGGCATCCTGACCGATGTGCGGTCAGGACATGGGACAAATGTCTTAAAATCGGGACTGTCCTATCGGGACTGTCCCGATAAAATCGGGACGTCTAGTCACCCTATTTAGAGACACTACATCATTCTGCAGCAAGGTACATGGCTTTCTGATTAATTGGTTTGGAAAACAGCTCTCCCTCTTGTCCATCACACTGTTAGTCATTGTACCTTTGTTACAGGACTTTAAATAATTGTATTCCAGTGAGTACGTATTAAGGCTATTAATCTTCCTGCTTTTTTAGAGTCCTGCAAGAAAGTACTGTATTACTAGGACAGGAATTTTCTAGATTTCTAAGCCATTCAGTTTAGTCACTGTCGGAAGTGTAGCACTCAGATCTAACTCTTCAGGCCTGATTGCTGCACACACATTACTCTGAAAAAATTCCTATGGGCTCCAATGGAATTTGTGCTCGAGCAAGGAATGCAGTATTGGGGCCCTAATTTTCTCAGAGCTATAAACCTAGCAGATATAAACAAAGTTCCACTTTTAGCAACAAATATGTGTATGGTTAGAGAGGAATGGGTATCCCGTGTGGAGCACAGAGCTTCACAGCGGCAAACTTTTACCTGGAGCCCACCCCACTTAAGTCAGCAAGCAGGGTTCTGCTTGCATGGAGCTCAGTGCTGGATCAAGGCCTGTATCTATCTGTCTACTTCTTCTATGGCCTGTGGTAGATTAACTGATTTGCTCAAGGATGGGAACTGAATACAGAGCTTCTGAATCCTATACCCATGGCCTAGCCACTTTCTTTCTCTCCCGTATTGCTATGAAGAGCCTCAGTCTACAGTTTCAGCTTCCATTGACTTCAGTACCACATAGGCCAGGCCACAGGTGAGTAATTTGTTTTAGTAAAATCCTGTGTGTTAGTTGTAGAATAGTTTGTTTTTTTCTAATGATCCTCTCCCTCTTAAAAGATAATGGGTGTACAGTGCTTTGAAAGTGCTAAGTAATCTTTTATAGACAGGTCTCAGGAAAAATAAACCATCTGGAGGTAAAGCAGGACTTAATTATATAAATTCTTTGCTTAGACCTACACTCTGAGCATAAAAATATTGGCTGCTACCCTAGGGTTAATTTCCTAAGGAGTGGTACATGTGGCCATCATTGCTGATGCATGAAAGTGGTGCCATGATCCTCTCCTAGAAGGTAAATGGAGAAATCTGGACTCATGGAAAAGGTCGATGGGAGTTTTGCCATTGATTTCAGTGGACACAGGTGTAGTAAGATGAGGCCTTGAACATAAACCCTTGTATCAGAGGCCGGTATGAGGCCTAAGGCCTGAACTTTGTTAAAATAAAGCAAAGTTAAGCTGTGAGCAAGAGGCAGGAGCTGCTCAGAGTCTGGCAACGAGAGGGCTGATGTTGCAAAAATATATATATATATATATATATACACACCTAAAAGGTACTGGACACTGGAGATATAAAGATGTGCCAGGATGGTACCAGAACACTCCGATACTTGCACATTCCACACAGATAACAAGGAACAGGCTGACCCATCCTAAAGACAGGGGGGAAGGGGTAAGATGGTGGATAGAGTTGTTCTGTTCGAACCAACGTGTACCAGGTGAGAGGTGGCACCCTAACACATAGAGGGGTTGTACCACAATATGTCAGGAGTGATGTGTAACTTGTTTGTACCTGTGTATAAAAACGCATCCCTGGGGGGTTGGCTTTGTCTGGTCTAGGGGACAGTGGTAAATCCCACCACTGACTGAGCTGTTCCATTGTCAGGGAGCATATATATGTACTAGCAGAACTGTAGACATCTGATCTGGGGAGCTAGAGACTGTTTCATTTGGCAATAAACCTGGCTGGGTGCCTTCGTACCTTATCGGAGTCTGTGGTCATTGGGTGGTTTGCTTGAGATCTGCTGGGCCAGCTATCTGCACAGAGCTGGGACAGCACACAGGGAGAGCACGTACGCACGCAGCCAACTGTTATCAACATTGGATAGAGCAGAGCACCACACTGGTGACGCTTGACCACAACAGGGTTTATCCCAAAGCGTGAGACATGAAACCTCTACCTACAACAGTCCTGGCATGAGAAGTCTCTTTTGCATGTGTAGTTTAGATATGTTAACCTAAACATTTGAAAATGGGATTCTAACGTTGTCCTAGCTAGAAACAGTTTGAACTGCATTCTAAAAGTCCTGTGAAAAAAGATGCCAATCTAAGGATTGAAATGTGAGCCACTTGTGCCTAGCACTATCATTAGTGGGCTGATGTTTAGATGGATCAGTGAAACAGACTGCACAGAAATGTGAACATCACCATCGGTATAAAGGTATTCATGCAAAGAACATCTTGGCTTTTCAATATTGCACCAGCAGCTAGGGACTATGAATAACCTTCCTGTACAGATTACTTGAGATGCTGCTTTTTAAGGGCTGGTTTAAATCAGAAAAGGGTTTTGAAATGATTTGGCTAATATAGGTAACTTAACACTATGGGTGGGCATAGCGTTTGCATCTGAATTCCAGCATTGCTCCAGCAAATAAGGAGGAACTTGTTTTGCTATTTTTTGTTTTTCTTTAAGGCTAGGATTTTGAAGGAGTTCAAAGGAGTTAGGCTCTCAGCTCTTACTGAAAAGCAATGGGAGCTGAGCATGTAATTATCTTAGGCCCCTTAATTCTACCTGAATGATTAAAAAACATGTTATGCATTAAGGACCTGACCTTTTAAAGACTATAGAAGGCTTGCTTTGACTTCACTGAGGATTGGATCAGGGCCCAAAACCAGGAAATATGTAAAGTTACCAAATGCTATGTGTATTACAGATAAAGGGTGGGTGGGTAAATAGATTCAGACTTCTCCTTTCATCAGGCAACGCTATTTAGAACTCAGGGAATTGGAGCTGGGAGTCAGTTACTTGAACCACTTATCTCAAGATCACAAGTTAAAATTTGTCTCATTGGTGGTATTTGAACGTCATTACCATCTGCTCAGTAACCTATTTGAAATGAAGCGTTGGTCTCGATCTGGTTTCCAGCTAACTAGGATCCAGATCACAAAACAGCACTACCCAACTGTCAACTTTGTTGGCAACTTCACTAAAGAGGCCAAGGGCTGAAATGGCACTTCCTTACAAGTGGCTGAAGTCTTGTAATTATAATAGAGCCCCGTGCAGATATAAAATTTGTATCCGCATCCGATCCTCAAACATGGTTCACATGGGCTGGATGAATGCACTATAAGGTGGGTAGAAAGCTGGCTAGATTGTCGGGCTCAACGGGTAGTGATCAATGGCTCCATGTCTAGTTGGCAGCCGGTGTCAAGTGGAGTGCCCCAGGGGTCGGTCCTGGGGCCGGTTTTGTTCAATATCTTCATAAATGATCTGGAGGATGGTGTAGATTGCACTCTCAGCAAATTTACGGATGATACTAAACTGGGAGGAGTGGTAGATACGCTGGAGGGGAGGGATAGGATACAGAAGGACCTAGACAAATTGGAGGATTGGGCCAAAAGAAATCTGATGAGGTTCAATAAGGATAAGTGCAGGGTCCTGCACTTAGGACGGAAGAATCCAATGCACCGCTACAGACTAGGGGCCGAATGGCTAGGCAGCAGTTCTGCGGAAAAGGACCTAGGGGTGACAGTGGACGAGAAGCTGGATATGAGTCAGCAGTGTGCCCTTGTTGCCAAGAAGGCCAATGGCATTTTGGGATGTATAAGTAGGGGCATAGCGAGCAGATCGAGGGGCGTGATCGTTCCCCTCTATTCGACATTGGTGAGGCCTCATCTGGAGTACTGTGTCCAGTTTTGGGCCCCACACTACAAGAAGGATGTGGATAAATTGGAGAGAGTCCAGCGAAGGGCAACAAAAATGATTAGGGGTCTAGAACACATGACTTATGAGGAGAGGCTGAGGGAGCTGGGATTGTTTAGTCTGCAGAAGAGAAGAATGAGGGGGGGATTTGATAGCTGCTTTCAACTACCTGAAAGGGGGTTCCAAAGAGGATGGCTCTAGACTGTTCTCAATGGTAGCAGATGACAGAACGAGGAGTAATGGTCTCAAGTTGCAGTGGGGGAGGTTTAGATTGGATATTAGGAAAAACTTTTTCACTATGAGGGTGGTGAAACACTGGAATGCGTTACCTAGGGAGGTGGTAGAATCTCCTTCCTTAGAGGTTTTTAAGGTCAGGCTTGACAAAGCCCTGGCTGGGATGATTTAACTGGGAATTGGTCCTGCTTCGAGCAGGGGGGTTGGACTAGATGACCTTCTGGGGTCCCTTCCAACCCTGATATTCTATGATTCTATGATATGAAGTGGATATCCACAGATTTGCAGGGCTCTAGTTATAAAGGTGGCCCAGATCCTCACGTGAAGGCAGTGGAGTTACACTGACATTCATTCGCTTTGGATCTGGCTCAGTTATGTTTTCCTAGTGATGGTTAATTTGGTTCCATTACTCGATTTTCTGAACTACTGAAGGAGTGCCCTTTTCAGAGAAGAAAAAATTGTTATTGATTAGCTAATGTGGTGGTATTTATAACCCATGGCTTTCACCAGGATGCCCACAGAACAGAATAGAGAGTGACATTTCCTTCTGCAAGTGATGCTGGTTACTGCTCTGCTTGCTGTGGGAAAGTGGCCTTTTCTTTAAAAAAAAGAAAAAAAAAAATTTAAGAAATGACACTGGACTTCAGTGTCTTATAGGAGACACAATAATGGAAATCTGTGACCATGTATCAACTTTCTGTGACTCATTTTATGGTTCCAACTTTGTTTTCCATGTCCACATACAATGAATAATTGCAGGGAGATAAATTATTTATGCTCTTTCTGCAAAAAATACAAGCAAGGATCCAGATGTGTGAAAATGTAGACTCCAGTTCTGCAAATCATTCTGCATGGATGCACCCTTGTGTCTGTATCTGGGTGCAACAGCTTGCAGGATTGGGGCCTTAATCATTACCTAGAGGCACCATGCCACAGTGCGTCACAGCTGAGGATGACAGATTCAGGACAGACTGCTGAGAAATAGGGTAGACGCACCCCAAATTGGTGGTTACTCTGTCATTAGACTATACCAAGACAATAACAAAATGAACTTCTATACCACCACACTGATTAACAAGGAGTTAACAAAAATGCAGTCTCCTTAGGCATTCCAGTCCTTAGCTCACCATCCAGACACTAGACTTTATGAGTGGTAACTGAAAAATCAATTTACTCAGTTATAAGGTCCTTCCAATCCCAAGGGACAGCCACTTGGCCAGGTTACTATATAACTCAGCTCTTACCCAATAATCATGCTGATGCTAATCCTTTAACTAAAAACTAAAGGTTTAATAATAAAAGAAAAGAAGAGTCATAAATGGTTAATAGATCATATATATAACACACAAAAGTGATTGCAAAGTCCTTATATCAAGTTGGAAGCAGTGATGGAATAAACTGCTAGCTTGTAAAAGTCTCTCTGGAGTTACCCAAACAGATTGGGTCTCATCAGCCCTTATTCAAAGCTTCCTTGTTAGAAATCCAGTCCAGAGAAATGAAGCAGGAAATTAAAGACAAAATAGAGATGTCTCAGGTGCCATGTGCATGGAACTTTACTGTCTCAAACGAAGCCCACAGCCCAGGTGCATGGAAAATTACTGGCCCAAGATGGAGTCCAGGGTCACATGAGCATATCACATATCCTTACATGGCTTGATGGCACACAGAGGCAACCACTGCCCATATTCTTTCTGAGGTGTCCACAGGAAGACTTACTGGACGGGATGAATATCTTCGATGGCCCATTGTGAGTTGAGTGTCCTTAGTGGGTCATCAACACATAGCTGTCTGTAAATTCTGCCTGCAGGGTGCCACACAGGAATACTTCACGTGTAAGATACAAGTGCATAGCCAATATTCGTAACTTCAGATAGAAAGAGGATACGTGCACCTAAACAGGATTATCATACTTAGCAAATCATAACTTTTCTGTTGACACCTTACATGACATACTTTGAACAAGATTTGTTGCAATTGTATAACAGTGGTAATATCAATGGTCATATTCAATCAGACAGCATCACACCTAGTAAGTAAGTTCTTGAATATAGTGTGGGAGGAAGAATAACTTTTTTCTTGTAATCCAAGCAGCTAAAACATTGAAAGAAGTGATAAACACTGCTGTTTGTTGGTTCATTTTGGTTCAGATTCAGCCAGGTACTGAAGCATGTGCTTAATTTTAAGCACCCGAGTAGTCCTATTGATGTTAATAGCACTACCCACTGTACGCACGTGCTTAAGTACCTTGCTGCATTGGGGCATTTCTGAAAAAAATATAAATCATCATTGCAAATAAACTTTCTATTTAACTCTATTTGTACCAATATTAGGTTTTAGTACTTTTGGGTAATTATCCTCCATAGAAAAAATGATTTTTAAATCCAAAATATTTCATGAATAGATTTTTGTTTTGTTTCAGAGGAAAAGAAATGGAGATATTTAACACTAATTTAAAGTTTAGAAATTAAATCTAAATTGTTGTAATTTTACTTGTTTATAAAAATACTTGTTTTTTCTAATTCTAGAAAAAATGTTTGTGTAACTATGAGAGACAAATTTTGCTCTGGATTACTGGCACGGATTCTGCTTTCATTAGTCTGAAATAAATATAGGGTAGCTCCACTGACATGAACAGAATTACTTATAATTTATAGTGGTATAGCAGTTGAGAGAAGAATTTCACCCACTGGCTTCAGTGGAATTAATCTGTATCTATGCCAGTTGAAACAAGAGCAGGATTTGACTCTGTAAAATTGGAGCTATGTTTTTTAAATTAATTAATTATTTTCTTTTAAAGCAAATTTCTGTGTGAGTCAGCCAACGAGTGAGAGAACAGACTAGCTAGATTTCTTGGCTAATGATAAAATCACAAGGCTATAGTCTAACAGCTTTCGTTAAAGGGTTTTCTAAACATATTAAATGTTAGTAAATCGGGCAAGATATATAATTAATACTGAGTGGGATGTGGTTATTAATCTGATATAATCTTGAGTCTGTAATGACAAGAGACCAGGCAGTGTCTGGAAGCAGAAGAATCAGATATGCCTGGGGGGAAAAATCTAAATGAAATACATTTTTCAGCCCTTTGATTTTGTTCCTAACAAAGGTGACAGTGAAAGTCTGAGCCCTTGTTTAAATTTGCAAGGTTTATTATTACAATTGCTTTCGAAGAATTCTAACTCTTCAAGAAGCTGGATTCCATTTAGGAATGAGGAAGAGAGGAATGAGGCATTATTTTTAGCCAGTTGAGGCCCTGCCTGCCGCTCTGTGGACTTATAGATTTACAGAGTTTAAGGTCAGAAACGACCATTAGATCATATAGTCTGATATCCTGTATAAGACGGGCTATTACATTTCACCCAGTTACCCTTGTATTGAGCCCTTATTTTGACTAGAGCATAACTTACGTTTTGCTAAACCATATCTGTAAGAAAGGCAACTAATCTTGGTGTGAAGACCTCAAGAGATACAGAATCCACCACTTACCTTGGTAGTTCGTTCCAGAGGTTAATCACCCTCACTGTCAAGTTTCAGAGTAACAGCCGTGTTAGTCTGTATTCGCAAAAAGAAAAGGAGGACTTGTGGCACCTTAGAGACTAGCCAATTTATTTGAGCATGAGCTTTCGTGAGCTACAGCTACAGCTCACGAAAGCTTATGCTCAAATAAATTGGCTAGTCTCTAAGATGCCACAAGTCCTCCTTTCCTCACTGTTAAATAATTTGTATGGAATTTCTAATTTGAATATACCTGGCTTCAGGTTCCAGCCATTGGTTCTTATTAAGCTTTTCTCTGGTACATTAGAGCCCTTTAGTTCCTAGTTTTTTCTCTCCATGAAGGTACTTATACACTGTCATCTGATTTGTGATGTGATTTGCAACCTGTAGTATGAGCTGTATCTGTAGTGATAGACTCAAAGAACTCAATCTATTTAGCTTAACAAAGAGAAGGTAAAGGGTGACTTGACCACAGTCTATAAAGTACCTACACAGGGAACAAATATTTGATAATGGGCTCTTCAATCGAACAGAGAAAAGTATAACATGATCCAGCGGCTGGAAGCTGAAGCTAGACACAATTCAGACTGGATATAAGGAATAAATTAACAAGGAGGATAATTAACCACTGGAACAATTCACCAAAAATTTGTGGTGGATTCTCCATCACTGGCCATTTTTAAATAAAGTTTGAATGTTTTTCTAAAAGATAAGCTCGAGGAATTATTTTGGGGGAGTTCTGTGGCCTGTATTGTACAGGAGGTCAGACTAGATGATCACAGTGGTCCCTTCTGGTCTTCAAATCTATGGAGCTATAATTTACTAGATCTGTCAAAGCAAAGGTCCTGCTTGCTCCCATGGAGTCAATAGAAAAAACCCTCTGAAATTCTTCTTTCTAGAATTTCATTCCCGAGGTGGTCACATTTCAGTGATGAGATTCCTCTACAGAAAGAGCACTGGAGACGTGTGAAGATTCTGGATTTTGGTTTCCATGGGAATCTGTCCAATAGTTTTAGACCTTTGGGATCTATGAATGAAAAGTGCTATATAAATGATTATTAATAATTATAGAAATTTAAAAGAAATGCCTATAGGCGACAGTCCTTTTCTGCACTATTATGGAGAAGATTAATTGCAAGAGATCACATTAGGATTAGAGTCTGAGGAAGAAGTTATTATATTAACAGAAGTATTTTAAATCTGCCCGTCAATACCGATATCTGTTTGTCTCACAAAATCACAATGACCCTGTGTATGATTGGGCCTAATGTACCTGGCCTGTAGGCCCCAGCCTGTCTATGAACTGCTATGATACCTGTTATGACACTGGATTTTCATAGGTGGCACTAATTTGCAAACAGTTCTCCAAACGTCTAGTGCAAAGCATTGATGTTCCATGCTACCTCACTCAATTCTTTAGCTGCAAGGAGTTGTGTGGGTTTTTTTTTAAAGAGGTTTAAAAAAAATAAATCCCCTGAACACTGACTTGCAGAGACATAATTCTGGGGAGAAATCTCCACAAGGATCCTGTTGCCCTGTAGTGTAGATGCAGCCTACACCAACAGAAGGGATTTACTGTCAGTATAGGAACACTACCTCCCCACATGAAGTTAGCTATGTTGACAGAAGCCCTCTGTCAACATAACCCCCAGTGTAGATGCATCTATTTCTGCATAGCTAAATCAATTCGGGTTATGGGTTTTGTCATACTTCTGATCATCACAGCTATGCCAGTATAACTTTTTGGTGTAGACAGGCCTCGCTCTCTCATTTACACACATTGCCAATGAATGTTAAACACCCTCCAGGTGGGACAAGTACTCTTGTCATCCATTAAATCAAAGACCTTCTCCTTCCACATGATGTGACCCAAATATGAACCTACTGTTGATCAGTTCTGCTGTTTCTTGGCTACAAGCAAGTAAGTTCATGGAGGATAGGTCCATCAATAGCTATTAGCCAGGATGGGCAAGGATGGTGTCCCTAGCCTCTGTTTGCCAGAAGCTGGGAATGGGCGACGGGATGGATCACTTGATGATTACCTGTTCTATTCATTCCCTCTGGGTCACTGTCGGAAGACAGGATACTGGGCTAGATGGACCTTTGGTCTGACCCAGTATGGCCGTTATATTCTGATTAACCTTTCCTTCCAGATTCTTATATATTTCTGTGTATCTTTTTTTCAGTTGTATTACTCAGCTGTAAGATATGTTTTCTTTACTTTTCTCCCTTCAGAATTTTAGATGCTTTGTATGGGGAAAAGATAATACAAAAATAAGTTTGTTCAAAAAACATTTTTTTCTGACTGACAGCACTATGATATCCAACTGGAATCTGAAAGCCAGTCTGAGTTCTTCCTTTCTTAAAACTGATTCATTTCAGTTTTAAGACCACATTTGCTTCTGTTAGGGGACAAAGAGCTACTTTCAGTGACATCATGATTCATGTGATCCATCAAAGAAAGGGGCATGACAACCTGCTATTTTCAATATAAAAAAAAAGTTCATTTTTAAAATAAAATGTTGATACGGGGCTTACCATAAAGCAGCAGCAAAGTTCTGATGCCTTGCTCAAGGCACCCAGGACTGTGAGCCACTGTGTTACCCCCGTCCCTCAGCAAGGGAGAGCTTTGCTGCTGGTAAGCTTTCGCTCAGCTCCCTGACACACCAGCCTGTCTGTCTTGCCAGCAAACTCTTCAAGACTCTGCCAGTCTAAACCTTGCCGTGCAGGAAACAATCAGTGAGCTCCCATTCTCAAATTCCCCAGAGATGTCTCCTTGCCGTGTCCAGTCCCTCTCGCTGGATACTCACAGAAAGTATTAGGTTTGTTGTCTCCACAGAAAGTCTCCACAGAAGTCTCCAGTTTGTTGTCTCCACCAGGCTGTTAGATTAGCTGAAGACTCATATCTTGCTTTAATACACAGCCCTGGGATAGTTTTGTAATAGAACAAGAATAAGTTTATTCACAAAGAACAAATTTCAGTGATGCTAAGGATGAGAAAAGAAAAGAGGCAGATATAGTTAGAAACAAACACCACATGCTTTCTAGTGACAAACCTAATTTTAGCAAGTTACAATCTTTGCTTAAATAGTTTTCTTACTCACATCGAGTTACCAGCATCTCCAGGCTGGGGGACTCAAGGTTCACAGAATCAGAGGACGCTATCCCCTTTGTTCCCTGTGTGATGGATAACTAAAATGCTTTTTTGCTCCCCTTACAGTACCCAAAGTCCATTGTCTCTGCCTCAGGAACCAGGAAAGATTCCTGGGGTGTAGACTCTGTCTTACGGTGGGCTCACTAAGCTGCTTCTTGGCACCTTGATAGTTTTGTTTACCATATATGTAAATGTACTTTCACTCTCTTCTGCCAGTAATCAAGCTGTCCAGACAGGTAGATACACATTCCTTTGCCTGGGGCAGGCTGTGTGTAGGCACTGCCTTCCAAACAGATTTTAAGACGGTATTTCCAGGACACATACATCTCTCTTTATACACAACCCAGACATAAATCATGCAATGATTTTCAGGACCAGCATGTCACCACTTTACATATGATACCTTTCATGACACCTTTTAAATACATATGACAACAGTGCATGTTGGGGGTAATGAGTGTATCAGGTCTGACTATGAATTACAGTACGGTGTTGTGGGGCTCCCTGACTCACAAAAGGCAAAAGCTTTTTTTTAAATCTCTGAATACTACTTCAAGGTGAACTGCATATTATGCAACTTCAGGGCTTGATCCCATCAATGACTGTGTGCTGAAGTCAATGGGGGATAGAGGGTGCTCATTAGTTGGCAATATTGGGACCTAATTGCTGACAATGATTAAAGATGCATTTTGTACCCTACTAAAAAGAATAGAACTATAATATTCTACAGCAGTCGTCCCAAATACTATAGTAATATTATGATAAGCTGCAATGCTTTGGACTGCTACTGTCAGGGTTCCCTCCCCACTCTGAACTCTAGGGTACAGATGTGGGGACCTGCATGAAAGACCCCCTAAGCTTATTTCTGCCATCTTAGGTTAAAAACTTCCCCAAGGCCCAAATCCTTCCTTGTCCTTGGATGGGTACTGCTGCCACCACCAAGTGAATTAGACAAAGATTCAGGAAAAGGACCACTTGGAGTTCCTGTTCTCTAAAATATCCCCACAAACCCCTTCACCCCTTTTCCTGGGGAGGCTTGAGAATAATATACCAACCAAATAGGTAAACCAGATTCTCTAAACAGAACTTTATTATAGAGAAAAAAAAGTATAAGAAGCACCTCTGTAAAATCAGGATGGAAGGTAACTACAGGGTAGTCAGATTCAAAACACAGAGGATTCCCCTCTAGGCAAAACTTTAAAGTTACAAAAAACAGGGATAAACCTCCCTCTTAGCACAGGGAAAATTCACAAGCTAAAAACAAAAGATAATCTAATGCACCTTGCCTTATTTACTTACTCTTTTTGCAATACTGAGATTCATTTTAGGAGGAGTTTTCTGACCTGATGTTTCTCTGCTTCCCCAGAGAACACACAAAACAAAGAGCACAAAGCCCGCCTCTCCCCAGATTTGAAAGTATCTTCTTTCCCCACTGGTCCTTTTGGTCAGGTGCCAACTAGGTTATTTGAGCTTCTTAATCCCTTACAGGTAAGGAGGACTTCTAGACTACCCTTAGCTGTATGGTTATGACAGCTACTGAATAACAGTGTCAAAATTTACTCTAAGGCATTGAATGGAACATACTGGGAAACTGATATTTTGGTGAATGAGAAACTACATAAGGTGACTAGAGATGTACAAAAGGAGATCTGCATGTGTCATAAATATAAAGGGAAGGGTAAACCCCTTTAAAATCTCTCCTGACCAGAGGAAAACTCCTCTCACCTGTAAAGGGTTAAGAAGCTAAAGGTAATCTCACTGGCACCTGACCAAAATGACCAATGAGGAGACAAGATACTTTCAAAAGCTGGAAGGAGGGAGAGAAACAAAGGGTCTCTGTCTGTCTATATGCTGCTTTTGTCGGGGATAGAACAGGAATGGAGTCTTAGAACTTTTAGTAAGTAATCTAGCTAGGTATGCGTTAGATTATGATTTCTTTAAATGGCTGAGAAAAGAATTGTGCTGAATAGAATAACTATTTCTGTCTGTGTATCTTTTTTTGTAACTTAAGGTTTTGCCTAGAGGGATTCTCTGTGTTTTGAATCTAATTACCCTGTAAGGTATCTACCATCCTGATTTTACAGAGGGGATTTCTTTACTTCTATTTACTCCTATTTCTATTAAGTCTTCTTGTAAGAAAACTGAATGCTTTTTCATTGTTCTCAGATCCAAGGGTTTGGGTCTGTGGTCACCTATGCAAATTGGTGAGGCTTTTTACCAAACCTTGCCCAGGAAGTGGGGTGCAAGGTTTTGGTAAGTATTTGGGGGGAAAGACGTTTCCAAACAGTGCTTCCCCAGTAACCAGTATTTGTTTGGTGGTGGTAGCGGCCAATCCAAGGACAAAGGGTGGAATATTTTGTACCTTGGGGAAGTTTTGACCTAAGCTGGTAAAGATAAGCTTAGGAGGTTTTCATGCAGGTCCCCACATCTGTACCCTAGCATTCAGAGTGGGGGAGGAACCTTGACAGCCTGTGTTACCGAGTACGGCCGATGGCTTTGCTGATACCCTTCTGCTTCTAATCCTTGTGTTCAGAGGAAGGTCATTAAGTTCCACTGCTTTTGAAGTACATTTATTACTGCTAAATCTAGTGCAGTCTATTTAGTCTTGATGCTCCTTAGTGAAACATTAATGAGACACTCATGCAGAGCCATAGAATTTGTCTGATTACCCCATTCATTTTTAATAAGCTTGCTACATTTCTGAGCAACAACAGAAATTGGATAATGCTACACTTTGCTGCTGGAGTGCCCCTAAATTCAGCTCTAAATTATTAACTACAATGGCTGAAGGCAAGAGAGCTGTCTTAGCCTTAAATTTATTTGAATCTTATACTGTATAATTGGTGCCCAGTTGTTGCTATTCCCCACCCTATTTCAAAAACAAAAACACTCATTTTCAGTTGAGGCTGAAAACTTCCAGCTTTAATCTATTGCAGAAACAAACAAAAACAAAATGTAACTTAACTGAACTTCAGAGACATACAAAATTTGAGCCTAACATCCCAGCAGAACTACTTTGCAGAAAATAATCATTGTGTTTTCTGGTTAAGGGTCCACTTCTTATAGCTATCAGTTAAACAAGAATAATTGATAACATTAAGCAGGTGTGCCCTCATATGCCTAGATCTTTGTTTTCCTACTGTACTTTAAATGTCCCTTTTTGTATGGGTTTCATCCAGAAACTCCATTCATGTAACATTTTTGAACATGCTTAAAGTAGATAGAGGCCTGAAGCAGAATCCAAAATCCCATATCTTAAATTTCCAAATCCAATCTCATCAAAACCAGAAGGAGCCTGCCATATCTTCAGATCCATGACCAGAAGAGGCCTATCAAATCTGCATATCTAAACCCAAAGAGGGACCTTTTTTCAGGATCCAGGTGAGATTTTACCAAGAAGGCAGAAATCTCATGAGAACAGCCGATGTAAATCAGAGTTCCATCAGCTGTATCTTATTGAGATTTCCATCTTTGGAGGCAGAAGTCTCATAAAAACAGATGGTGAGATTCTGATGCTGATGAGCTCAAACCTGAGCTGCATCTCATAACTAAACCCTACTTTAAATCTAATTCACTCTATTACCAAACACTCACTCTGAGGTCCATTTCTAATCTAAATGTTATGCTAGATTGATTTGAAGTCTGACAGATAAACGAGAAAACTTAATGAGAAGTGCTATGTAACCTTGAATAAAATGTTACCTCCTTTCAAAGGGAAAAGAAACATGAAAGATAAAGTAGATTGTGTTAACTGCACATTACCAACAGGAAGGCATCCACCTATGCTTTACTTCCACCACAGGCACTCGGTGGTGGAATGGCCAGGTTTCTTACCCTGAAATGAGATTTCTTGACCCAGAAAAAGTGACAAAACACAAGCTATACTTGCCTCCTTGAACAGCAAAAGAGAAAGGCTTGACCAAACAATCCAGGCTGGTGTAACGGGCCAAATGGAGAAAATGATAAAATGCTTGAAAGACGTCCCAAGAATCTTCATTAAATATTTGGAAACATTTTGTGATTGTTGGTTCCCAGGTGTTTTGCACAGGGATTAATTATTACAATGATTGTTTATTAATAAACAAAGCAGTGTTTGAAAAAGTCTGAAGCATTTTATCATTTCTCAAGTGTTCCATCACTGGAACCCTCACAAAGACAACCTGGATACTCTGAAAACAACCTAGATAATGAAACACTTTGGGGGGGGGGGGCAACAAAATCTGAATTTCCTAGACTTGAGCCAACTAGCAGATGGCAGGAACTAAATGTCCTGGGAAAAAAAATCCATCATGGATATGGCTGCCATGGCATCAGTCTGACACCCTGCCAAACTTAGAGTCCAGATGAATGAGTTACAAAAGCTTATAGTCATTCTAGTTCATGGGATTGGGAAAAAAAACGGGGATAATTCATATTACTGCAAATGACAATGGCTCTGACAACTAAAGTGGGAACCCCAAGTTGCCTGCACACCACACACAACAGTAACAAGGGATTGGGGTGGGGTGGGGGGGAGGGAAATCTATGATTTGATCATAAAATTTGATTGTTTTTTTTCATCCCTCTGCTTTGGGGTGAATTTCATCCACTGTGACTACTAATACGATACAGACACTTACTGTGATTTAGCCTCTGTCAAGTTTTTGCTGTTGTTCACACATTAAACTTGCATGCTGTAAGTGTTATCAGAGGGAGGAAAGATCTTGTGCTTAAGGTTTGGGATTAGGACCCAGGAGAACTGGGGCACACTTCTTGACTCTGTTACAAATTTCCTATCTGACCTCCCTCAGACAAGTCATTTCCTCTCTCTCTCTCTGCCCCAGTACACCACCTGTGAATACTTCTCTCCTCCTACCCTTTGTCTGTCTTGTCTATTTATAGCGTAAGCTCTTTGAAGGTAATGATGTCATCTTACTATGTGTTTGTTCAGTGCCTAGGACAACGTCTCCATTTCAGCTGGAGCCTCTTGGCACTATTGTAATACAAATATGTATTAATATAATTTTAAAAATTTCTGTCTGAGACAGTCCATAAAATGGTGCCTTAGGTGTCCCATGATTTTTTTAAAGGCTATATTTGCCACTTAAACAAGTAATTTAAGCCTCCCCCCTCCATTTGTTTTCATACAGTTTAACAGCTCAGACAACTGTGTCTTTATTTTTCAGAAGTATTGGGTGCATTTAGTTAATTCAGGGTCAAATTAAAAATTTAATTTTTTGTACTGAAGAACTTTGCTTTTGAATGAAGTTTAAAAGATTCTTGGTTGAATTCCTCACTGAAAACTATATGACAAAGTATAATACCAAGCATTTTCCCCTATTAACTTTTGCACCATGCAGCCAGCACAAAGAAAGAATCACTCTGCTGCCTGAGGCTGCTTGAGTATCTTTGAACCAAAGTAATGGCTCCTGGGCCATCGGCTCTTTGTGGCTGGAATAGAGGGTATGGCTGGGTTGCCAAGGCCCGAGCCCTTTCGGACAGTTGGTGGACAGTGTAATTTAGAGCAGTGTTCAGGCATTTGGAGCCCGCACGTCACACGTTAGCAGCAATCCTGTAAGGTTGGCCCTGTCCCCAGAACTCTTGCTGTTTAAGGGATGGGCAGAGAGGAGTTGGCCTCTCCATCCCCTCAAAGCCCTGACGGGATGAAGAACTGGCAGGAAATCCCATCTCAGCTTCCTGCTGCCAGCTCTTTTCCCACTGAAGCATGAAGATGGCATTTGAGAAGAGACTGCGTGTGCAGTCAGAGCTGGGAGGCAGGCCCACGGACTAGCCTGGATAAATGGCCATTAGCAACTTGCACCGCAAAGTGAAGGAAGTGCCCTGATCCGTGACACTGAGGCTGGATGGGCAGTTGGAACTGTTTGTTTGCTGGTGGGGTAGGAGTCCTGTTGTGAAACGCTGAGTTTTTTATAGTGGCATTAACTATTCCTTGCATCGACACAGTGATTCTGTGGATAAAGGTGTTGGGATAGAGCTGTGTGTTGGAGTGATTTCTAGATTAATTCCTATCTCCCCCAAGGCCACAAAGCAAGGAGTGGGAGTTTGGAACAAAATCCCAGAGAGGGAAGCCTCTATCCCAGACTTTTTTAATGCATAGTTTGTCCAGGCTCGGGGTGGAGAGAGGAGACATAAAGCCACCTTCCCAGAGTTGTGCTGTGTGCTCCTCAGCTGAGGATCTGAGCCTCACCCTGTACTCGTTACCCTGCCCAGAAGGGCATTGAGTGGTAAATGAAAGACACTAATTCGGATGTTGACTCTTGGGAGCAAGCGCATACAGTAAATAATAGTCACCAGTTAAATCAGCCAAGTATTATGTGTGTTCTTAATGGATGGCCAAAAAAATTATGCCATAATGCTGAATTATAACCTTTGTTCCCACCCCACCCCCACTCTGTCCTTTTAAAATTAAATCTTCTGGGAGATCTCCTCTATTTTTCTGCTTTCAGATAAAGCTTCCCTCAATATCTCTGAAGCACAGCTGAAATCCGCCTGCAGAGAACATCGGGTGGAAGATGCCTGGAGGTATATACAGCACAAAGACACAGGAACTTTATCTTCTTCTCTAGCTGCTCTGAACTGATTGCTGGGATTTATGCTCTCTCTTTAAAGGACTCCTTGGAGCTACCTAGTTGCAGATCAGATAAAATATATACCATTCCCTGACCAGGGGCCTGCCAATTTAGACTTATCCTTTAATCTGGGCACATCTAGTCTTACAGAGGTCTGATTTAAAGGAGAATTTTTGTAAGACAGATCATTATTCATCAGTTTTCCAAAGCTTGTGTGATTCTAATTCTGCAGCTCCGGCTAGTCTGGAAGTTTTTTGGAGGAGAGGGGAGAGGAGAAATAACATGTTCTCAGGGCCAGCATAATGGCTATGCAGCACCTAAGACCTAGTTACATCCACCAAATGCTACACAGACATTGAGCTGGTTTTCTGAACAGGGGCAAATTTCACCCTTATAACAAAAACAAGATGGGCCATACTCTTTCTCCATTGGCAATGAAGTCAGGATTGAAGTCAGTGGAGTCACACCAGGGATAAATGTGATCAAACCAGATTGACTCCCCAGCAATGAAGTCAGTGGGAATTTTCTTGGTGTAAGCACTGCTCTTCATCTATATTTCCACTTATGTAGACCCAAAGTGAGATTTTTCCCTTTGAAAAAAAATCATCCCTATATAAAATACAAAGGAATTCACACTTGTTCAGTGCAAGTCTGTCTTATACGTTGCAGCACAAGAGAAAAAAGGGTATTTTTTAAAAAAAAATTCAACAGTTTAGAAGAAAATATACTGGAGATGCAATAGTTTGGGAAGTATCTACATTGACGTCAATAAGAAATTTTCTTCCGTAAACTCTGCAGGATTGGGTAGGTAAAGAGAGAGAGAGGTTTTCCCCTTCAAATAAATTGCTTGATTTCTGCAGTATAGTTCCTGGGACAGGATAGGGCGTTTACCACAAATATCTTATCATTGTGGGATTTTAGAAGTAAAGTGATAAACAAATCAATTCCCTACATCAGAGTCTGACATTCAGCCATCTAACAGACAAGCCTTCATTTACTACAGTCAATATGTGTATTAATTTTTCACCCCCCCACTGAAATATTGCTTACCTCCAAAGTTAGATAAAAGTCCATTCAACTTGAGCACCAGATTTCTCCAGACTGCTGAAGTTTGACCATATTTGCACTCTGGGTTTCTGTTTCTGTCACCCTCTTCTGTCATCCAACCAACAGGTCTGTATCTTAGCTGGTGGGCTTCATGCAGGCCTTCCATGAAGCTAGGAGTTCAGACCATGAGTCAAGAAGATAGGGTGTTTTAAGACTGTAAGAATGCAGAGAAACTGACGTTCTTTGGCCACCTAAAAGAGTAGAAATATTTGTCCTAAACATGGGCCTGGGCCATAAAGTCCAGGATATAAACTTCCTCCAAGTTCAGGCCTACCCCAGGTTTTTTGTGTTCTGCTATTGTATGTGGCGCTTCAGCTTTATTGCAATTTTAATTAAATATTCCAGTCAATCTAATTGCATTTAATGAAATATATAAAACAGATGAATACCTGCAATAATAGACTGACAAAAAAAACCCAAAACAAACATTTTTGCTATCTTCTCCCCAGACACACCAATACAGAATCTAACACTCACAAAGGAGTTTAGAGCTATGCTTGATTATAAATCTTGAATATATATGTACACAGGTGGACTGCCCCAGAAAGGAAGAAAGAGGAATTCCTCTAACAGCCCTTTATGGTATCTTCTATTACACACTGCTTGGTTGACTTTGTAACGTCCTCTTTAGAGACATTATTCTCTATAATCAGAGGAAGAATTTAGCAAGGGGCAACACAGGCTAATGATCTTTCTCTGGTATTCAGTGGTTATGTAAGGTTGCTGAGGCAGGACACCCAATATCAGTCTCAGTTTGGAGACACCGGTCACCATAAGGCCCCCCGCTCTGGTGTCCTCATTTAATGGATGGACTGAGGCACAGAGAGATTAACTGACTTGATCGAGGCCACACGGGAAGCCTGTCGCAAAGCCAACAACTGAAACCAGATCTCCTAGATCCCAGTCCAGTTCCTTTACCACAAGGCCGTCCTCCGACTTGTATCTTGGGCAACTCAATTTTAAATGTCTAGACAATGAGCCAGATTCTCATATATGTGATGGTCCCTTTACACTTCTCTGGCAGCACAAAGAGGTCTTGAAGTAAGTGTAAATGCAATGTTCACTCGCTGTATGGCCCCTTTACACTATTAGAGTGGTATAAAGAACTCTTTGTGTAAATGAGAATCTGGCCTACTATATCTTTAACAGAATATATACGGTACGTTGAGGGCCAGCTCTAGGATTTTTGCCACCTCACTTTTGGCAAAAAAATTTTGGCCGCCCTCGCTTTTTTTCGTGTCCCCCGTACCCCCGACTGTGCCCCAACTCCGCCCCTTCCCAACCCCTTCCCCAAATCCCCAGCCCCACCTCCTCCCCGGGCGTGCTGCATCCCCCCGCCATTGCTTCCTGGACTCCCCCCGCCCACAACCCCTGCCTCCCCTGAGCGTGCTGCCACTCGGCTTCTCCTCCCTCCGTCCCAGGCTGGCCCTGCCGAGCGGCTGTTTGGTGCGCGGCGAGGGAGGGAGGGGGGAGAAGCAGCGGTGGCGCGCGCTCAGGGGAGCAGGCGGAGGCGAGCTGGGGCGGCGGGGGCACATTTCTAGGGGCAGCGTTGCCAGCGCCGGAATGCCGCCCCAAGCACCTGCTTGTTTTGCTGGTGCCTCGAGCTGGCCCTGGGAACGGGGACAGTGGAATAAAACAACTGCAGCTGTCTTGTGTCCGCTGACTTGGGGGCTTGGGCTGCCGAGCTAAAACATCACAGTGTAGATGTTCAGGCTCGGGTGGGAGCCTAGGCTCCAGGACCTCCCATCCCAGCCTGAATGGCTATACTGCAATTTTACAGCCCCACGAGCCTGACACAGGCTAGCCACAAGTGCTTTATTGCCGGGCCGGCCGTAGTTCCATACGGATTAATGGTCTACTTTTCAAGCAACGAGCATGTACTATCCAGATTGTAGTAGTACACCAAGCTTTGTAAAATATAATATTCTACAATATTACCACCACATAACTGAGCTTTACAAGCCTACCTAATGGACTTAGACACCCATTTCCTTTTAAATTAATGGGAATTTAGTTATGCAAGTCTCCTTGGCAGCTTTGAAAAATCTCAGACTGGTTTGCTATACTAGAGTAAGTCGTGCTCTTCGGATTGTTAGCATAGAATGCTCTAGTCCATTTTTATGGGTATTTCTGGCTCTATAAATGCTAGTTGCTGTGAAACTTTTTAAATGAGGTAGTTGGTTAGAAAACTGTATCACAGCCTGGGGCAACTGCACACATATTTCCTCTCAGTGGTCCAGCAAGGGCACTCACTTTCAGGCTTCCCAAATTTGCCTTTTTGGGTGGAGACCCACATTCTTTCCCCTTCTGACAGGGGTATCTCCAGGCTGCACAGGTCCCTAACTACACTGTTATCCTCAGCACAGATGGGCTGCCCAAACAGAACTTCATTTCTCTTCAGAGATGATTAACAGGAGTAATTGCTACAGTTATAAGTAGGTCCCTACCAAATTCACAGCCATGAAAAACATGTTAGGGACCATGAAATCTGATCTTTTGTGTGATTTTACCCTCTGCTATACAGATTTCACAGGGTAGACCAGCATGTCTCAAATTGGGGACCCTGAGTTGCAAAAGGGAGTGGCAGGGGGCCACAGGGTTATTTTAAGGAGGGGGGTTATGGTATTGCCACCCTTACTTCTGTGCATGTGCCTGGAGAGCTGGGTTGTGTGTCAGCAACCGCTGCTCTCTATCCACCCAGCTCTGAAGGCAGTGCAGAAGTAAGGCTGGCATGGTGTGGTACTGCCACCCTCACTTCTGCACTGCTGCTGGCAGGGGGCTGCCTTCAGAGCTGGGTGCCTGGCCAACAGCCACCGCTCTCCGGCCACTCGGCTCTGAAAGCAGCTCCCTGCCAGCAGCAGCACAGAAGTAAGGGTAGCAGTGCCACAACCCCCCCCCCCGGCTACAATAACCTTGTGACCACCCCACCCCACCTCCTTTTTGGGTCAGGACCCTCAATTACAACACTGAGAAATTTCAGATTTAAATAGCTGAAATCATGAAATTTATGATTTTTTAAATCCTATGACTGTGAAATTAACCAAAAGGGACCGTGAATTTGATAGGGCTCTAATTATTAGCCTGGCATTTTTCTGTTTCTTGGATCACTGATCAGAATTCTCAAGTGTTGTGTAGGAGACCTGAAAGCCATGTTTAATACCTTTATCTTTGCTACCCTGTGTAAACATGACTGAGCCAGAAATCATGTTAGGGCTGCTTGTGGCACCATTTCCTTCAGGGACAAAATGTTCCACACAGCTGATGCTGCTCTTTCATTAATGAACCTGTTCAGAGCCACAGAAAGTGATTCTGACAGTGAAGCTGGTGGTTCCCCTAGGGTACAAGCTTGACAGGAGACCAATTTTAAGCAAAATGAGTGTACAGTATACAATTTATTTAAAGAAACTGTTTCAGATACAGACTCTGAATGCGTATATATAGATAATCCCAAGTTGCTGTGCCTTAGGAAAGAAAAAACAAAATTGTATCTTGTGACCAAACTATTGGCTTTATTGCAGGAAGTAAGTGAGTTTCCTACAAAACTGAGAATATTTATTGCACCTTGGTTATCTCAGATACTTGTTTTCCTGGAATGCATACAGCACTTTGTTTAAAATCATTTAAAAAGTTTCTTTAAGAGGGGGAAAAGGGGCATTAAGGAATGAAAGAAGAATCTGAGTGGATGATCTGCTTGCAAAGGTGGATCGATAGGAAGAATGATTGTGGTTAAATCAGAGTTGTCTTGAAATGAAAAGAATCTGGGTTCACACTTGCTGTGTGACCCTTGCCTCTATTTCCCCATCTGTAAAATAGGGGTAATATGATTTACTTCATCTACTTCACACGGGTGTAGTTTTAGTCTTAATGTATTAATGTTTGTAGAATGCTTTGCATTTCCTCAGATAGAAGAGGGGGTACAAACACAGTGTTACCAGTCTCTCGTTATAAATGCCACTGCACAGGTAATTACAGACTTTCCAAATGACATCTCCTGTAAGTCCAACAGCATGCATATGCATGAGATTTAGCAAAGTACTCCTTTGCAAGAGCTTCAGAGATCAAAGACAATCTAGAGCTGACTGGAAACCAATTAGCTACTGCTGTGTGGACCTTTGAAAACAAACAGGATTTTTATTTTATCCTTTGATTATTTTTTTCTGCTCCAAAATGAAGGTAGAGATCAGGAAGAGCAGAACAAAAGAAGAGAGAGAGAGAGCATGTGTCCACAAGTTACTTGGACAGATTTAAAAAAAAAAAATCAAGTTATAGACATGTTTCTTTTAGTTCAACAATTCTGTAACTCAGCAAATTACTTAAGCACAAGATTCCAATATGGATTAACTGCCAGTGTGCAAAATAAGGCCAGTTTTTTTCACCATGTTCAAATCTGCATTTATTATTTAAGAACCCATCCCTATGGTGTCTGGCTTCTGTGTTGGTCTCTTTCTGATCCATATTCTGTACATTGCTTTAGATTCTCCCTCTTCCCCAGTCTTATGTTCCAATAAGAATTACAGTGGGGTCAGAAGTGGCATGTATTTTAGAGGTCAGGTGCTAATTTATAGTTCCCACTGTTGTCTGAAGGCTGTGGGGCAGAATCATTGCTGAGGTAAGCAGCTCCAGCTCCATTACCGTCTCTAGCATTTCACCCACTTTGTGGTCCCGCAGCTTTAATTTGAGTTGTGCTCTCCAGGGTCAAATTTTGTACCATGGCAATTAACACCAAGCTTCTGAAACCTGATAGGGATTTACAGCTTGGAGTGAGCAGCTGCCATCTGGTAAGAAGTGGGGACAGAGAAAAAGAATGAGCTCGACCTTTCCCTTTTTTTTTTTTCCCCCTCCATGTGGATCAATGACGGAAATGGATGAGGGCGCTGCTGAAATGTCACAACTGTGTAACAATGTAACTGCTATTAATGGATAGTGCTACAGCTGAAAATTATAGTGGAAGGAAAGTAAGAAATAGGAAAAGCCTTTTTTTTTTTTATTATAGGTTACAGATTGATGATTCATGGTTGACAGTTTTGATGTTGCTTTCTTACCGAGTATCACTGGCTTTTATGCATGCTTCCATAGGTTCAGTATGGTAGCTTATTTTAATGAGGCAACAAGAGATGCACCTGAGGTGTCTGATGACAATTTGTCCTGAAGTCAGTGCATACAAAGAATGAAGAAAACCAGTGCTAACCAA